CTCTTTTTTTCAAGCTACTTTCAAAATCCTCTATCTTTGATCTTTGATCTGTGAAAGTTTGATTATAATTTTTCCTGGGATACTCATGTTTCAATTGAATCTGATTTTACTGTACCTGGAATTTATATCTTCTCCAGGTTCACAAACTGGCTATTATTTATTTAAATATTCTTTCTACTCCCTTTTCTAACTCTTCTTCTTGAACATCAATAACTTGAACATTTGATCTCTTATTTCTATCCCACAAATCCTGGGAAATATTTATTAGTGTCCCAAGTGGAGATGTCAGACAAGTTCATATACAAGTCTAGAGTTTAGGGGTGAAGTTAAGCTGTCAAGAGACAACATTTGGGGGGGGTTGTCATTACGCTTATTGCTTATATTTAAAAACAAACTATAAACTGAATCACCTGCAAAAATATGTGAATAGAAAACAAGATCTGGGACCAAGATCCAGGTTAGGGAGAACTTAGGGAAATAGAGGAAGTCAGCAAAACAGACTAAAAAGGAACGTCAGAGGGACAGGAGTAAACTTAGGAGGAGTTATTTCCTCAAAGCAAAGAAAATAGCAGATACTATGGAATATGCAAAAAAAAAATTGCAAGTAGAAGTTTTCTCTTTAAAAATTATTTCTATATAAGTGAAAATTATTTTTCTTTCTCCCAACTGGCCTCATCATTGAAAATATGAACATGCTACTAAAATGTAGTCCCTAGGGAGGATGCACCAATGGAATAGTCCTGAATCAATTTTAACTCTTAGCTACACTATATTTAATCTTGTGGGTTTAAATCACCTCAGCAGAACTCCATCATCTCAAGGGACCAAAATGTTTCCTTAGCTAGGTTAGTTATGATAATAATGTGATAATAATTTCAAGTCTGACTACAAGAATGACTTCAGACGTAAGTCCCAAGGTGCAGAGATGTGATAAGTAAAACCCAGTTGTCATCTTGTACAAAGAAGGGTGGGATAAAGCATATCCTCGGTGCAAGAAGTGCTCTGATGATAAGGATCAGGTCTGGTTTAAGAAGTATTTCAGCAAAGCTCCCCGAATCAGTGACAAATGTGGTCTAGAAGTGGTCACCATGCCAACCTGGACCTCACTCCCAGATGGTAAGACCTGGGGCAGACCCCAGAGTCCTCATGTTCAGCAAAGGATCCTACCATGCCTTGAAATCCACGAGTCCATCAAAAGGTAGAAAGCTACTCCCAGACCACAGATCTCACAATATCGGAAACATCCCGCATTTGTACTCAGGCCAAGTCTTGGGGTAGACATTGGCCAAGGAACAGAGGCTAAGGACGAACTCTCCAGAGAAAGCATTGAAGTCCAGCTCCTACTCAGAACTAGCTTTGTATACTAGGTGGCTTAGCAGGAGCTCAGAACACACTCTATAAAACCCATGCTCTTCAAATTGATGCAAGGCAAACAGAAACATCTGTTCAAACGCCCAAAGGATCCCATTCTACATCAAATAAAATGAGCTCAACACCAGCCATCCCCAAAACAGAGCCTAAAAAACAATTGCAAGGATAGAAATTTTTCGAAAGGCAGTACTGCAAAACGAGAGAAAACCCTGTATTTCCCCAGCACACGATCTTTTATGGCAGCACCTAACTGAAACCAACTTACATTATTTTTATTACTATATCTCTCATTCACTTTTGAGTTTTCTCATTTTCCATACTTGTCCCTCTTCTTTCAGAATCTAGAGTGTGTCTTAAATAGAGCCAGGCCTTACTGACATTTGTAAAAGAGATTTATTAAAATAAGTGTTGTTGATTAAATGTGTAGGTGATAAGCAAAGAAAAACAAGAACCAGACAGACTGTGATTTTGGATGACTGTACTGACTGAAGGGCTGTGTGGGCACAGCACTTCACAGAGACACGGTGGGTGAAGGACAGCGGAACGAAAGTGCTCTGCCTCCGTGGGTTACCACTCATCCAGCCTTGCACGGAGCACCGGACGCAGTGCAACGTACTGGATTTTAGGAACCGAGGCAGACTTGATTCCAGACTGACCTAGAATTTCATTCCTACTCTGTAATTTATCAACAGGGCAAATTAATGAAACTCTTTAAAATTTTTCTGTTAACATCTGTTTGCTACTCAAGGCAATTGCACCCATCTCGCAGGATGGACGCGTCCCCTCCCCCTCCGCTCCCTCCTTTCCCATCTCTATCATGTCTACCTCCTGTTCCTTAACGTGTCTCTTATGTGTGCTTTAAATTATTTGTATTTGTGACCTAGCGTGCTAGAGGAACCATGTGATATTTCATTGATTATCTCGGCCTCAAGAATCATCCATTTTCCTATAAATAACTCAAATTTGTCCTTATTTATGGTATTCCATTGTGTGTAAATGCTTTTTCTTTATCCATTCATCTCTTGATGCCATGTAGGGCATTCTTAAATTCTTTTTCATCTAAAAATACTAACAATAACACTGCCGATTACATAGGATTGAAGGACCATTTCAAGTAAAATAATGCCTACAAAATGATCAGCAGTGTACAGATCTTAGTAAGTTCCTGGCACATGTTACCCATTATTATTGTAATAGGAAAACAATAACTTTCATTAAATACCGGAATGTTTCATGTGAGTCATGTGACTTGCCTACATGTGATCACTGTAGACCTTCAGCAACAAATCCCATGGGATGTAACATATTAACAGTAAACGGATTCAACTTGGGCTCTCCTTCTTACTAGATGCTGCTGCCAAAAATACAAGAGGCGTTTTTTTTTTCTAGACAGTATCCAGAAGAGACTTTCAGGGTATATAAAATGTTATCCAAGAACAGATTATATTTGTGTTTGAATACAAATGTACTGAAATATGTCTGAGTAATATCAACAGATCTTCTGTGACTCTGCCAGAGCCAGTGCAAGTGTTCTAGAAACCCCAAACACGTATGCTCAGGGAAGAGCCTGTGCCTTGGGAATCATGGTTATAACATTGTTCTTCCTTCTCTGTTCAGGCCGCAGTCAAAACCCCCAATTAAGATTTTGTCCTCTCTTCAGATGAGTCCAAATTTATGTTCAGAGATATACTGTGTAGATTGGTTACACTGTGCAGATGTTTTTGGAAGCAAGATGTTCTACATATTCTGTCTTTCAAGAGTGACCCTTTCCAAGTAGCGTAAAGAGTGTTCATTCTTCAGCCTACTTAAGAGGGATTCTGGATTAAAAGGTAAGGTAGAAAGCCAGTAACTGAACTAGATGTGACATGAAATCTCTCCCAGAAATATTAAACATGCCTGCCAGATAGTCCATCCATCCAGGAAAATTTTGCAGTCTTGGCATGGATAATGAAGAACTAATTAATCTCTGTCCTTTGTTGCTAGCAATTCTAATAGATTCTTGTGAGGATGTTGTACATCACTTGCTCCTCACAACAATCTTGAGGTCATTCTGAGAAAACAAGTAAGTGGAAAAGCTGGAATCTGAACCCACATCGTTTGATTCCAACATAGCCTACTTTTTACAGTCTTCCTCAGAAGCAGCCCGTCCCAATTTGTGTGTGAGTGAACACATGGGTACATGTGTACCTTCTCTACAATCTGGTTATACAACCAAAAAGACAGCTAATGGCTCAGCCGAGCATCCACTCACACATTGCCTCCTCTTCACAGTTTTCAGGAAACAAATTCTTTGCAATCTGCTTTTGCCTCCCTGTGATTAAATGCTGTCCAAGAATCCAAATTGAGAGAAACTGGCAAGGAGAGGGGAGCAGACAAAGGTGCAAAAAACAGGACCAGAACAAGGGAAATTTGGCTGCCAGTCTTTTCCCCTTGACTTCAGAGTAGATGGCAATCAGCTTTAAGTCCCATCAAGCATCTGGGGTATTTAAATACCAAATTTAAAGTTGACCCACTTTTGCAACTTTGGGCAGGACCAGCACTCTCCTTAGAAGAGGAAGTCAGGATGGCCTGGCACGGTTCTGACGGCATCTGGAACCTTCTAAGGCCCCTCGTCAGCTTGCACAGGGACTGCACGAGGGGTAAGGAACTGGCTGAGCCCTGCTCTTTTGTGCTGATGCTAAGCAACCTCAAGAGATGGCCAACTGTGTCCAAAGACCTTTTTGCTTAAGGAAAATGATCTCCTGGGAGCTTTGCTCTGGGCTCACCTATTTTAGAAGAAATTGCCTGCTACTTAGTTGTTTTCTTTGAAATAACAAGGATGAGCTGTTTCAAATTAAGATTTTAGACCTGGCGAATCATATTCTCCAATCTGTGGCCTAAACCAACACAGGTAAAGCTTTTATATTTAAGCACTGAAATAAAAACAAAAGACAGTTTATATTCCTAAGGGCTTAGTGATCATCCATAAGAAATTTCCTCAAAATCTTGTTTACCTTGCTCTAAATTCAAGAAAATCTTCCTCCTCTTCTATACAAGCTCCATGTTTGTTTCACTGTTAAACTGTGGTCCCAAACTTTTCATTTTTCTTCTCGGTACTGGGAATTGAACCTAGAGCCTTCACACTGAGCTATGTCCCCAGCCAATGGAACATGAGCAGAGACTTGCACACGCGAGGTTGGGGACTGCCGTCTCTCTCAGTTCCTGTGCATGGAGCCAGGAGGACCCCCAAAGAGCAGAGAGAAGCAGCCCAAGCTGGTCTTCCCAAGACCACCCAGAGCTCACCTACCGGAGAGCTTTAGCCACAGTAGGAACGCTGGCAAGGCCAACACTCCCCACACTGGACTGCTGACCCACAGAATCAGGGGCAAGTAGATGACTGATATTTTAAACCATTGTTTAGGATGGTTTCTTTTTCAGGAAAAAGTAACAGATCCACCATCTAATCTATAATTAGCCATCTCTTCCATAAGGTACCATCCAAACAAATGTTTCCATGTAACTAAAATACACTACAGCAGTTCAGGAATAACCATGCGAGCTTTACTTCTAAAATGAGATGAATTTGAGATGATTTAGCACAGGTCACTTCATGTGGAGCCTTAGTAATCACTAAAATGCTTACAAATTACCTGTTTAATCAAATTATCCATTCAGATCCTCCAGAATTTTACTGGGAGTTGGAAATGAGATGGCTATCTTACTGTTTTGAAACTCAGTAAATTTATGTATATTTTGTGTCCACGCCTTCACCTGGAGAGGAAAAGAAACACTTTTTTAGTTGTGAATGCTTTGGAAGTGAAAACTCATAGTTCACCTCCGAATCTCCTAAACCCTGGGTAGCACTTAATGGACTCAGATGATTCACCATCAAGAAATACATTACCTCTTAGGAAATATGCATCTTATTTCTCATAAAAATGCTATGTTCCTGCCAGGAATGCTGCTGGATGCCTGTAATCTTAGCACTCTGGGAGGCTGAGGCAGGAAGATGGAAAGTTCAAGCCCAGCCTGGGCACCTAAGTGACTTAGTGAGACCCTGTCTCAAAATAAAAAATTTAAAAGGGCTGGGGATATGTCTTAGTGTGAAGGCCCTGCATTTCACTGTTTAAAATAGGTATATCTTCACTCAGAAAACTTTGATAATTTACATTACTCTTGCTTTGAATCTAGGGTTATTGACGTTATCAATTTCTCTAGTATTTGAGAGCTGGCAGCCTTTATTTAGAGAATACAGTAGCCTTGTTTCCCTTCACCGAGTTTCTACTGTTAGAATTAACTGATAGCTCAGTTTTATTCTTTTGTTTTGTTTTGTTTTTTTGAGACAGGGTCTCACTATGTAGTTGAGCAGTACTGACCTGGAACTCACTGTGTAGCCCAGGCTGGTCTCGAACTCACAGCGATCCTCCTGCCTCAGCCTCCCGAGTGCTGGGATTACAGGCATGCTAGCTTTATTCTTGAGCCTCACAATTATGCCAAAAGGCCTCAATGTCAGTTGAAAATTACTACATCATGCCCACCAATATGTTCCTAAAGGTCTCACTTGTGCAATAAGGCCCCAGGTAATGAACCTGTGGAGTGAATAATCATTATGTCTCAGGCTTGGACCCTTGACAAATCTCTTGTTCAAGTCAGCATTCAAAATGAAAGCTTCCATTTCTGGCTAGTGTCTAATTTGAAACTAATTATCTCTTTTGTTTCCTTTTCTAAATACCACAGCCCTTGATAATTCCCTTTATCAGTTTCGCTGATTAAGTTGAGGGGAAACCTTAAGACGAGGGAAACCTTGGTGCCCTTGGGACACCAAGGTAATGACAAGCCACCTGTGTACACATAGAAAGCTTGTCCGACAATATTATCATTTTGCTATTCTCAACTGCAGCGCTATGAAACTAAAATTGTAATAGACAATCAATACGGATTGGGAAACCGAGCATCAACATTGTCAGAGGATTTACCCAGTCTTTCAGCTAGCTAGTAAGGAAGGGCAAGAGGCAGAATTTCAATTTACACGTAAATGTTCTAATTAAGTCCCGCTCACACTGAAGGCAGCCTGTGTTGCAAAGTACCTGTGTGTACTTCACGGTGCTCAACATGAAACCCACGACCTACTCTGCCATCTGCTTTGTGAAAACTCAGATCTCACATTTCTCACAGTAGGTTTGCACAGACAGCATGAATATCAACCCAATCAACCTAAGGACTGAGCACATGTGGCGTTACGACTTCTGTGAAAACTTTCTTACAAGTTCCAATGTTCTGAATCATCGTGATTATCATAGATGGAGAGCCCTTAAGATTATCTAACCTGAGATCTTCATTTTGCTTTATTTTGGAAGGAAGGGACAGAGGGAGGAGAGAAAAGACAGGACAGAGACAGAGGAAGAAGAGGAGAGAGAGCAGGAGGGACCGAGACAAGGCTAGGTGCCTCAGGCTAGCTACAGGCAGCACGAGGCTGGAAGCCAAGTCATCAGTCAGCCCTGGGGTCTTCCCAAAAGACCACATGAAACTAGAGACAGACAATTTCCCACAGCCTGCTCTCTAGAACATGCCATCATGGTTCCATTCAGGTTCTAGGTAAGAATTTGGCCTAAGAAATAATGTTTTACATTTATATAGTAAGTTTTTATTCACAAAGTATTTTCCTAAGAACTTGATTCTCCAAATCAAAATGATGCTGGCCTGGCGCTACATTGTCCACATTTGGTAAAAGAGCAGTACACCTAGCTTCCGCAAGTGTCTCTACTTTCTGCATCCTGTCTGGTAAACTGGCAACAGGAATCAATACTTATGAACAACTGTCACTAATACCATCAATGAACAACTTATTAATGTTGTTGTTTCTATTTCATCTCTTACGCAGCCTGTTTTCAACAGTTGCCATACTCTCCTCTTTCACTCAAATGTCTAATTATCCCGTCACTGCAAGTTAACTGTTGACATAGTTTGAGTAACTAGGTGGTCATCTGGCTATGGTCGTCTCAAAAAATTATTTCTCAAGGAGTGGTGGTTATGCTTTAAAAGATAATCTGTGATGTAGAGATAAATTAAGAATGTGATATTTAGAGCTCAAAAGAACCCAATTCAGGAGAGTAAGTGGAAGATGGATTCAAACACGTAACCAGGAGTCGGTAATTGCTTAAGGTTGAGGCTGAATGCTGGGTACATGGGGTTCATTTAGTCTTCTTTATACTTTGATATTTTGGTATCTATAATAAAAAGCTTTTTTAAAAAAGAAAAACACCCTATCACGTGACTGTAAAAATGTCATTAATTTAAATTATTCTCAATTCTTCACTTTCCCCCTGCCATGTAACCATGCAGCGTCCTAGAGGGGACAGAGTACCCCACCCCACTTCGTGCATGTTGACTTCGTCTACAGGGCTCTCTTCGAGCAGTGGACTGTGACCTGACACACCAAGAACAAGGCTTCAGATATGGCTGCTTAGCTGTGCGACTCTTCTTCCATACCTCAAGGACAGCACAACCCAGGGAGCAGCTGAGCCTGTGGACGGCCCCGGATGCCACCTGTGCAACAGACCCAAACACAGCTGAAGTCTGCACCAAGCCCAGCCAACCCTCAGCCCAGGTCCCGGCCACCCTGTTGACACAACCTGAATAAATAGGCACATAAACAAACACGGAATGCTTTTAAGCTACTAGGTCTAAGCTTAGTTTATTACGCATCATGCAATAGGTCTTCAGTATGGACAATCAAACCTCCCAAACAATCTAGGCTTTTCAGTTTTTAAATAACACAAATAATGAACATTTTTGTATGTAAAGTTCCTCCACTATTTCTGATCCTCAAACTAAGCTCTTCCTACCGGTAGGCTACACTCAAACAAGCTACTCTCCCCTGCACTGTGCTCCTGGCACTTAATGCCTTGGGGAATGAACTGACCAGGGAGGGAAGGAACAGAAGAGGAGGAAGAGCTCTGTGCATTTTAAAGACACCGATGACTTTAAAACACCCTAAGGGTCAGTTAACACTTGTCTCTCTTTGAGGCCACAGTCTGGACTAGACAAGGAGCAAGAGAGGAGAACCTGACCCATGTAGAATGGTGATGGAGGTAAAACTGACAGAACCAGCTGACCAAGGGACGGAAAGGGAAGGAGACAGCTAGCAGTGGCTCTGGTTTAGGCTCCAACTGGACAGTGCCAATGACCAGGGAGAGGAAGACTGGAAGAGAGACCAGTCGGGGTGGAAGGAGGAAACTGACAACTGCCCTCAGAGATGTCCAAATGGAGATGTACAGTAGGTAACTGAATATAGATTTTTCAAATATGCTCTATTTTTAAATTTCTCTCACAGCTGCCTTGCTAATTCTGTCTAGAATAAACATAGTCAAGTTTATTTTTTCCTTTTCCTGCTATGGGTTTAGAACCTGGAGTTCAAAGAACCTTCATGAACCTTCTGAACGTGTATAAAAATTCCTCAGAAATCTACGTGCTTATCTGAATAGCCAAGCTCTTGTATATACCACATCTCCAAAAGGATCTGAGACTTTCAAAAAATTGGAGAACTATTGCATTCATTGATAGCGGCAAATACTAAACACTGTAAAGATTAAAAAGAAAGCGAATGGCTGTAGCCATGGAGAAGCGTGTGACGAGCGAAGAGCACGGGAAGGAATGTGCTCAGTGTAAATCTGGTGGGCGAGGAGCTGAGACCCTCGTTTCCTACACTGCGGTATGAGGAGGGGCCGTGTTAAGCTAAGGCAATGTGTGCAGAGCAGTAATTTGCTGAATACATTTCCAACCACCATTTACCCCTCATGATTTTTAACTCATTTTCAACTTTGCCAATGTCAGCCACTGATGGAGAATATGGCTTCTGAGTTGTAATTTACAAACTTAAGTTGTAAATTTACAACTCAAACTTGTTTATAAATTACAAACAAGTTTTACCACTGCACAGAAAGATGATAAAATCTAATGACTTCTATAGAAAATGAAATACTATAATATGTGCTAAAATATTTATAAAAATTCCTTTTCATAAAAGCATAAATTTGTAAATAATTCATAAGAAACTGATTTCCTGGGCAGGGGATTTAGCTCAGTGGTGCCGCCGCCTGCCTCACAGCAAGATCCCAAGTTCGATCCCAAGTTCAATCCCCAGTACCAAAAAAAAAGAAACTGATTTCCTGTTAGCTTTAATATTTATTACTATTAAAAATTCAGCTTTTAGCCAGGCATGGTGGCTTATGCCTGTAATCCCAGCACTCGGGAGGCTGAGGCAGGAGGATCACTGTGAGTTCAAGACCAGCCTGGGCTACACAGTGAGTTCCAGGTCAGTCTCAACTACATAGTGAGACCCTGTCTCAAAAAACAAACAAACAAAAAATTCAGTTTTTCTATTATATATGTTCAAAATTTGATCAGTATGCTTGACACAAAAAGGGTAATCCTGAAATACACAGTGATCCAGGTCAGTCTCAACTACATAGTGAGACCCTGTCTCAAAAAACAAACAAACAAAAAATTCAGTTTTTCTATTATATATGTTCAAAATTTGATCAGTATGCTTGACACAAAAAGGGTAATCCTGAAAGCGATACTCCTCTGGGAGTTATAAATACATGACCAAGAAATATACGGTGTGAAAAAAACAGAGACAGAAGGACAGCACATTGCTGGAAAGATCTAACAAAATTACTGCAGCTCAATATCCATAGTGAGAAGTAACAATTACTATAATCGATGTACAGCAGCCTACCATGATGAAATAACAAGGATTTCGAGTCATAAAAATCTAGATTTCAGCTGAGGCTCAAGCACTGTAGACGCAGAACACATTCTGCAGCCTGGGTGATGCTCTACTGACTTGTCTGAAAGCGGGAATAATAATGGCCCCCCTGTGAGACTGGTGTTCGGACGCTAAGATACACTCTGCCCTGTGGAGACAAGCACTGCAGGAAGGTGCGCTGTTAGACACAGACACCTGTGAGTGGAGACAACGATCACCCGGGATTTTGCAAACGTTGCATCAAAAGAACACAGAGGACCATTGGTACAGCTAGTTGGAAAATCAATCTGGCTTTTAACGAACTCTTATCAATACCAGACACTGTACACATCATTTTTTTCATTTGGGTACCGGGGATCAAACTCAGGACCTTGCACTGGCCAGGCAGGCGTGGTGTCACTGAGCTAAATCCCCAGCCCTGTGCAAATAATTTTACAGTCATTACTTCATTGTCCGTACAGGTTTAAGGCAGATGTTAATAATATTTGCGCTGTGAACCTGAGGAAACCAAAGTTCATAGAGATTAAGAGATCACACAGCTAGCAAATAGTAGAGCCAGATGGTGGCCTGGTTCCAGGGACTGTTGGCCCCAGGTTCTCAACCCCACTAGACTTTGTGACCCAAAAGGCTATCAGTCAGACTGATTATGTCTTCAGTGAGCACTATATATATAAAATCAGTCAGGGAACAGTGCTGACTGACCTAATAAAACTCAAGTTTTAATTATGAATAGGTCTGAACTCCTAATAGGCTAATCTGAGTCTCAGCCACATAATTTGGATTTGCATCAGTAGTATTTTTAAAGTAAAAAACCTTGTAGATCCAGGAGTTCCAAGTGGAATTCCCTGTCTTTTCTTCTAGAATCATTTGGCCTCCTTCCATGCACTTGAAGGCTTCAACCCAGTAAGAGACATTTGTTGTTTTGTCCTGAGATCACTGGGTGTGAGAAGACCACAGCTGCTTCGTAGTCCACTAAGAGGAATAAGGCCAAGGTTTGGGGATCATGGACAGAGACAAAGACCTCTAACTGCTGGCTTCTCTTCCACCTCTGAATCACTGAGATAACGGGCGAGTTGGTAACCCTGTGCCCTACCCACCACAGGGAGACAGCATCTAACTTCTTACCTGCTAAAATGCATAGGAAAATTAAATGTGATAACACATGAACATTGAAAGAGCACGAGATGGTTTGTAACAAACTGTCCTTGAGTTGCTGCTGGGATTCTGGCCACCCTCCAACATTTTCACCAGGTCATATCACTCTTTTCTTCCCACAGGAACAGATCTCTAAAAAATGTCCTCAGTTCAGGGATGGAAAGAGAAGCTGAATTGATTTTTGCAAATAAAATCAGGAGAAACATTACTGGCAAATATAGGGGTTTTATAGTCAATGCTCTTAATTTACAATCCTACCCCATGCATCACAGCACACATTTCCCTATTACGTGGGTACATCTTCTTGTTGGCAGGGAAAAATTAGCTTTATGAATTAAAGTTTTTCAAAACCCTCAAATGCTGCTGACGTTAACACCTGCCTTCCTGTATGGACAAGCTCAGTCCAGGCCCAAGCAGTAATTAACAAAACACATGTGGCTTTAGGTGACTTCACCCATGGTGCTGTTGGGGTCAGGGAATGTTATCAGTGTGACAGCCAGAACAAAGAAAGTACCTGAATCAAGACCGTGGTTGTGTTAAATTCTCTAGTTGCCCTTTGAGGTTCTACTCCATCCCAACTCACTTGTCATGCAGAGAAAGCTCTACAGCCATTGTTCCACCTCACGCTCAGTCACCCAGCCGATGGCTCCTGGAGTGGAGAGCAGCTGTCCCCTTTCGTCTGGGCTAAATTGCAGGTGCATTAGTGAAATAAATCATTCTTGTAATTTATCTGCTGAATCCAGGATGGTTTGTTATGTGCAGCAATCAAGAGCAATCCCCCAAAATTAAACATCAAATTTCTCACTATGCTGTACTTTATAGGTATCCTAACTCAATGAACAGAGAAAAATCAAATAAAACTTTTTACAGATGTCTCTCCTCCAATCACAATGTACCTGCCTTAAATGTTAGCCAATAATTGAGAGAAACAGGTGGAAGGGTGGGGCCATGCAAACATCCTTAGTACCTGGTGCTGGGAGCTATGGATCGTGGGTGTCATCCCTTGTCACCTCCTAGAGATTGCAGTTGAATGAATCTGTAAATGTTGTACCCACCAAAGGCTTTACCATGAGAAAAGCAAGGCAACTTTGGGAAATGCTGAAAGTCACTTTTCACTTCTGGGATGGAGCAGGAGAAACTAAGACCATGTGGAAGTCCTATACCAGAGACTCACGTGGCCTTGTGTTTTTTGTGGACTCGGTTCGTGTTGAAGGGATGGAAGAAGCCAAAACTGAACTTCAAAAGAGAAGTAGAATATCTGAAAATCAAGGAGCTCCTGTACTTACCATCATTGCTAACAAGATCTGAGGAACCCAGAGACTGAGAAATTAACAGTGAGCTCATCTACTCCTTGGCATTTGCAGCCTCCCTGTGCGATCACAGGCGATGGGTTCAAGGGAAGAGTTCAAAAGACTACACAATACGATCATTCCAAGAAAAACGTCGCAAAGAAAAAGAGAAGGTGAATGTCAGTACTTCATACACATGTGGAGTGGGTTTTCTCTGGTCTGATTCTCCCAAATGCAAGAATATCTGCAGTCTGGTTTGCTAGTTTGCCCTCCTGGATACAGTGAAAGCTTTGTTCTGTTAACAAGCAGATGCCCAGCTCTGCTACCTTGTGGAAGATGAACAAATGCAGTGCTTTTTAAAGTGGTGTCTTTTCCCTACCCCACAAAACTTTTCATACTATGTTTTGGGAAGCCAAGCAAGGATAGTACATTGACCAGAAAACAACTGTGGAAATTCAACCAGAAGTTAGTTAAATAAAACTCTGAAGAGTTTAAAAAAAAAAAAAAAATGAGGGCAGCAGTAGCGCCAGAATTGGGCCAGTGGTGCTAGGAATCAAACACAAGGCCTTACACAAACTAGGAACCAGCGCTCTACCATTCAGCTGTATCCCCAGCCCCACCAGTTCTTAAACATCTTTGCAGTTTACACTGAGTCTCTGCACTATTCATATGATGCCTTCAGACTTTTAACAGTGGCCATAGAACTCTGACATTTTCACTTTGTTGAGCCAGTCTCTTCCTGCTGCTACAGCTGCCCGAGGGAGACAGAGTCCAGGTCCTTCCCATCTAGCCATCACTCTGCTTCACCCAGGGCCCCAAGGAAAGTCTAGAAACTGGAACCCAAATTATGCTCCCTGCTTAGGTAAGAGTCACACGAGAGTCTATGCCACAAACACGCTCCAGTTAACAGGGCTGTAGACAGGAGACTAAAACTCCACGTGACTTCTTTACTACTTGACCCTTCTAAGTTTCTCTGCCCTCATCCCATTTCCTAAGCAGCAACTACCGGCATTGCCAGTTGAATAGGCAAGAATATATTTTGTATAGGATTCTGCCACTGACTGTTGTGAAAACACAAGAAAGCAAACTAAGGAAATGCTAAAGGTTTCTTAAGGACCTGGGTGGACAAGTGAAACGGTATTTGCTATAAACAAATGGTAATTTCTTTATTCTGTCACTCCCGTTGCATGTATTGGTTTATGCTTAAAAGAACTCAAAAACGTTGGCACAATTACTCAAGTGCCAAAGTGGTGAGAATAAACTGATGAATAGGAAATGTATACTTTCTTTCCTCGATCACTTATTCTGGGACAGGCCAAGGAGGAGGGGGCCAAAACAAAAATCACTTATGGAAAGAACTTGTATTTTTTCTGGGCTGTGCAAGTGATGTGGAATTTGTTCCCTATGCCCCTTCCCTGCCATGAATTCTCAGGAATTCAAGCCCTGAAAACTTCCCCTTCTGCCAGTTCAGTAACAGAAAAATGTGCTAACTGGCTTTTTATTTTTTAATCTTCTAATGCCACCATCTACCCTGGCAAAACACTGTATTCCTTACCTCCACATGACAGCTAAGCACACGATAATGCACAAGGGCTCCCCGCACAACTTACCAGACTGAAGGCCTGAGTTGCTCTTCTGCAGATGCAGGGCTCATATTGCTGCTGTCACTCGTAGTTCATCTCGTGATATCCTATACTTCCCATTTTTAAGTAGCACGTAAACAAATACTTCGACTTTAAAATGTTTTCTCATTATAGCAAAAATCACTGAGTACCTCAGCAACTCATACATACATGTGGTAGCTCCCC